GTCATTTTCTATTTTAAGATGCGTAATGGTGAGTTTGTCCAAATACCATCAGAGAGTATGTATAATTTGGCACCTGATTCGGTGAGTATGGATGAAGGTAATGGCACTTTATTATGATCTCGTCTACAGATTCTGATGATTTAAATAATGACATTGATGTAAGTCCAGTTTTGTTGCATTATTCTATCGTAGTCTTTATTGACGAGTGTCACAGACAACAACAATGCGCATTGAATGTGAAGTTGCTAGGAGATGGTTAGTTATGTCTTTTCACCAGAGGGTTTCATATGAAGCTCAGGAATTCACTGAATATTTGCCATGTAAATATGATGGAAAGATATGTTACAGCTCAAACAAGCATTCAATGCCGAATTGATTTTCAAGAATTGTTTGGAACGATGAGTTTCTTCATAAGATGATTTAAAGGACTAAACGACCCGAGAAGTAAGTGCTTTGTGTGTTTTATGCTTGATGGCTATTTACTTCATAACAGGAATAGTGCGCGGAAATAGCAAGGAATGAATCAAATTTTAGAATTTTGTTATCACTGCAACACAAAAAGATATTTCAAAATCCATTTTTTGGTACCTAAAATCGTAATTTGTAGAAGGTTTTTTGTCTAATGGTTGGACTCAAACGTGCTAGACGTCCATGCTCATACTGCAACGCTACTAATCACAACGTGCGAACATGTGTCTAAAAGCTTTTGTTGAAGTCAATTGTGAAAAGCAATTGCTTCATAGGGTGGCACTTGGCAATGGCGTCATTTCAACTAAAACGAGGAACGTTGCGGTAAATGAGACTTTAACCAGGGGCCAAAATTAGAGCGTAAGATAGCCAGAAGAGAGGAGCTCGAAATGGACCGATAACGGTACCCCTAAGTAAGACACCGGTATAATTGAATTCTTACAAATCGTGATAAAACGAGGAAAAATAAATCCAAGTGTTAGACTATTTCATTTTAAGTTCGGTGGGTCATATTAAATCGTTACGCAGGCCATGGAACCACTACTTCAACGGAAGATAACACAATTATCGATTAGTTATTGGACAAGCGGGTTGGGATTTGCTGCCGACTACTCTTTCGTTGCCATTTACTGACGGACTTCGAGCATATCCTTTTCAAAATCCTGGTGTTATGTTATGGCTTTTACAGTGTGTTGAATGAACAATTTCCGTTTGGTAAACAATGCTGGTGGTGATAACTGCGCCTACATTTCAATTCTGGATGGTGTGCGATCTTTGGGCTAACCTGGTATACCCGACAATGTCCAGCAATTTAGATCAATCGTTGCAGATGAACTAAGTAGCCGTCCGAAGCTTTTTAACGATTTATTAGAAAACGATGCTGATGATCGGAATTTAATACTTTTGTTTCTGTAACACGAAGTACTCGTGAATGGGCTCAAACATGTTGCTTTTTTTGCTAGTGCCGCGCCTCATCCGATAACAATTCGTTTATTGGACGACAGAACGAAACACTCTAGGTTTTTTTGGCTCTTTTTAATTGATTATTCATCTAATTTCTTGCATCATGTAGCTCTTCTCCCGTTTCTTACCTCTTCTCATAATTCGTCTGCTAATGATATAACCAGTTGTATTTTAGAATGACAACAATCAAGAAATATCGACACCGGTCCATTTTCATCAGAGACAGAATTATTGCACGTCTTATTCAGAACATGCTCGATGCAGGCAACTACGATGGGTATTTTGAGCATCTCCCAAGATCACCATCACATAGATTTTACGAGGCGCTTGTCGATTTGTTGAAATGCTATGGACGTCAATGGGGGTACAAATAACGACGTGGGCTAATTTTCACAAAATAAATGTTTATTTATAAAATCTTGCAGTACAGAATAAGAATAAACGGCGGACAATGATTCACAAACAGAATTATCTTCTAAAATTCAACACGAAATCAGAACGCGCGCCAATTTCCGAAGGAACAGTACGACAAAGTATAATATTAATTTGCGTGCCATGTCACGAGCACTGAAACAATTTCATAATCTTGGTTTTGTTCTTGACCCAGTTTAATTAGGTCCGTCTATTTTATCTGACAATGTTAATTTCTGACGAGGTTTTGTCTGTTTTTCCACCTATAATTAGGGACATGTGGCGTGGAATGAATTGAAACAGAACCGAGTCTTATTTTAGAGAAACGTAACGATGCTAGAAAAATACTGCAAAGACTATAGTTAGAGGTCGGGATGCAGAATCGTACTTGTTTGCATAGGATGTACATCGTCAAGAAAAGTCGGGTGTTTTTGACGAAGACATTATTCCGAAGCATTTGTGTTTGAGAACGTACGTATCGGAAATCAACGCTTATTATACAGTATGTGGCGAGCAAAACACACAAGGCAAGTACAGACTTTCTTGATCAGATCATTTTCATCAGAGACAGAATTATTGCACGTCTTATTCAGAACATGCTCGATGCAGGCAACTACGATGGGTATTTTGAGCATCTCCCAAGATCACCATCACATAGATTTTACGAGGCGCTTGTCGATTTGTTGAAATGCTATGGACGTCAATGGGGGTACAAATAACGACGTGGGCTAATTTTCACAAAATAAATGTTTATTTATAAAATCTTGCAGTACAGAATAAGAATAAACGGCGGACAATGATTCACAAACAGAATTATCTTCTAAAATTCAACACGAAATCAGAACGCGCGCCAATTTCCGAAGGAACAGTACGACAAAGTATAATATTAATTTGCGTGCCATGTCACGAGCACTGAAACAATTTCATAATCTTGGTTTTGTTCTTGACCCAGTTTAATTAGGTCCGTCTATTTTATCTGACAATGTTAATTTCTGACGAGGTTTTGTCTGTTTTTCCACCTATAATTAGGGACATGTGGCGTGGAATGAATTGAAACAGAACCGAGTCTTATTTTAGAGAAACGTAACGATGCTAGAAAAATACTGCAAAGACTATAGTTAGAGGTCGGGATGCAGAATCGTACTTGTTTGCATAGGATGTACATCGTCAAGAAAAGTCGGGTGTTTTTGACGAAGACATTATTCCGAAGCATTTGTGTTTGAGAACGTACGTATCGGAAATCAACGCTTATTATACAGTATGTGGCGAGCAAAACACACAAGGCAAGTACAGACTTTCTTGAACTTGAAACCGGACGGTGAGTTAATTGAGCCCAATAATATGTTTATAGTTATTATACATCCCGATGACTCATTCATTTGGCAGTAAACCTTTCCGATGCCAGCTCGAAATTATTCTTGCAATTATAATGCAAGCGGTTGAAAACAAAGACCAACCATTTTAACTACTGCTGTTTTTATGAAATGTTTCGATAAACTCAGTAGGTTGAAGATTGTTTTTCATAACAGTTGCAAAAGTATGATTCAGTCACATCAACAAGTCAGAATTTCAGAAGCAGAATGTATCGGATATTTTGTCACTGCTAGTTCGGAAATGCGTGACACACGTTACAGGCGATTTCAGTCATTCAATTTCTAGGGGTCGGTGGAAATAGTTGACCTTGTAGTCTTACCCACCGCCTCCCAATTATATTCTATAATAGTTTTTTCTATCCATTACAATCTGTACATTTTTGATATATTCGGAAATAAATCATTCTCTCTTTACTACTTTATGAAGAAATGCTTTTGATTATCAACGCTTTTCTCGAGAAACCGGCATATTTCATAGGGAGGCATCTTGTCATGTTGCATGGACATGCTTTTAGATGGCATGACACATTGCTTTGGTGGCTTGTCAAATAGCTGATGCTCGAGTATAACTTTCTTCGCGTCAACTGGCAATATACGGCGCAATTTCAAATTCGTGTGACGAGGAAACCTTTCAAGATCATTGGACCACCAACAATGTTTCAAGTGTGGACGTTCATTACATCATTACTTTCTCACAAAAGGAATCTTGTTACAATAATAAGCAATGCTTCAAAAGAACCTGTACCAATAAAACTGTTTGGGGTTGCCACTCGAGTTATTTGGGAACACAATACAATGTTGGAATATGTCGACGTCAATATATGTCTGAGCTGCGCAATGTCGAGATTGTCAAAATACAATCAGAGAGTGGGTATAATGTGGCACCTTGACGATGAAAGAGAATCGTTAAAGATTCCTGATTTCTTCCGACTTAGATGATCCCAGAAAGTTAATATCTTAAAACTGTCCACGCATGACTGCTCGTGGTCAGGAGAGAGATGAAGCGGGAAAATCAGAAATGGTTTGTAGAGTTCCTAGGGGAACAACAAGTTTTCATTACTCGGTACATATACCACTATCCAAAAAGAATCCCGCCAACTTATCTGCCGACCATACCATTGTTACAACGCGTTTTGGAATCCTCTTTCAACTGCACGGCCTGCAATTGTCGGTTCGCAACATCGTATTTGATGAAGTATCACGTAGGTAAAGAGAGCCATAGTGGAGGAAAGTATTTGAAAGAACAAGAAAAGGATAATATGAGAAAGTTAAAATTGCTGGTCAGCCAATACTTATGATCAAACAAATAACGAAATCTCAAAAAGTTTAGCAGTAACTGAAATAAGATATTACGAGATGAATACCTTTATTAAGGTTTAGCAGTAACTGAAATAGGATACTACGAAATGAATACCTAAAACCCTCTTATTCCGTGATGAGACTTATGTGTAAAAAAAATATGGTTCTAATATGATTGGTCAGTAAGAGTTAACATTCTTTATGTATAAGTCTTATCTAGGACTTAACTCAAAACAAAACCAATAAGACATTTTCGCGCCTTTTCAAGCATGATATAGGCTTGTCCGAGTGTTTTTGTACCCGGGTTGTGCGTCACTCCCTGTTGGCCCAAGTATTCCCATATTTGATTCTAGCTTGGGCGGGGTATAAACAATTATATTCGTTGTTTCGCGACAGTACGTGATATATAGAGAGAAAAAAGTATTCTCGCGTCGATATCTGCCTTGTATATAAATAGGACAGCTTCCAAAGCGATGCGTGGCAGTCGATTTTTATATATGAGCGAGTGAGATTACGTCGAAAAAAAAAAAAAAAAGCGAGTGAGATTACGTCAAATTATGTCAGATAAGCAACCAAGGGTTTACGATAGAGACGAGGTGTTATGGCAGTTAGAAAACGAGGCATACGTTCCGAGTAGCGATTCCGATAATGATAACTTATCGGAGTCAGATATGTCTGAGGTGGAGGTGATACGATCAGAGGAACCAGTTGATTCCGACGAAGAAGAAATACCCGAAGGTCTGTGTAAATGTTATTGTTGCTTGTTTTGAAAGTTGATAAATATTTATTATAATACTTCTTATTATTATTGTAGATGTTCCAAGCACATCATCTGAACCCCCACGGGTTCGAAAGCGTCGAACGAGAGGTGCGACATCAACATCTCCCAGGGCCAAAAGGGGCTGGAGCACATCTTCCACCCAAAGAAATCGTCTAGTGTTCAACAATTCAACAACAATTGCAGGGTGGTTTCGGAAAATCTTTCTGGAAGTCGGTGGTCCGGTTTAGAATTCCGGATAGAATTAGTTACGGCGCTGATAGGCAGCCACAGGGCATCACGGCGACTCTCTGGTTAGTCAACCTCATCTTTGAATCGACTTCAAAACACAGGGGCACATTTTCCAGTTTCCACTGGGCAGACAAAATTGTGCGCAGTATGTTCGAAAAAAGTTCGCGTTTCGAACGAAAAATCTAATATTTCGCGGAGCGCAATAAAGTGCGATGAATGTGATGTTCATCTCTGTGTACGCGAAGGGAGAAACTGCTTTCGTGACTGGCATAAAAAGGTAGAATATTGGCGCTAAAATTTTTGTATCGTATATCTCATGTTATTTTTGATTGTGTTACCTTTTGATTCAGTCGCGAAAGCAGTTACTTTGCGTACACATAATGAACATCACATTCATTGCCTTTTTATATTGTATTGTACAATGTTATTTTTTATTTTATTATCGTCTTTTCCAATACCATTCTTATTTCCTATTATTTTATTCACATTCATCGCTCTTATATTGTATTGTACAATATTATGTTTTATTTTGTTATCGTATTTTTCAATACCATTCTTATTTCCTATTATTTTATTCACATTCATCTCTCTCATATTGTATTGTACAATATTATGTTTTATTTTGTTATCGTATTTTTCAATACCATTCTTATTTCCTATTATTTTATTCACATTCATCGCTCTCATATTGTATTGTACAATATTATGATTTATTTTGTTATCGTATTTTTCAATACATATTTTGCCCATAATTACTCAAACAATTGTGATCATTCAAAATATATGTGGGCGGTAAATATAGGTCGCTCTTGACTAATAAACCAAAGTATGCAGCTGTGTAATATCATAACAGTCTGTCATTATTTTATGATGAGTCAAAAGTAAATGAATTCGCAGTGCTTTCTATTATTCAGGGCGAGCAGCTGCTAAAGTAGGTCGTTTGCAAATAAGCAAAATCAATTTAGCCAAAATTTATTAGCTAATCACTTCGTAACATTCGCGCAACGCTTCACGAGTAAACTATAAACAAAGCGCCGCCTCAAACTCAGCGAGATAGCTAACCGTCGATGCGACACTTCATCACACACGATTTCACAAACATACCGCTTCGTTACTCGGCAGCTGTTACAGCTACAGCATTGCCTGTAGTATCATTTTGTTAGGTAAACAACCAGCGACGCGACTATTACGCTCGCGAGAGAGTTCTCTTCTCATACGTAACGGTCCGACGGCCATAAAGAAGAAAGGTTCGAATGTTTGTTTACAATCGTCGATGAATTTTCTCACGTACGCAAAATTTCGTACATGGAGCGATCCATTAGCGACATCTTGCGTATAGAAAACAATAATACGATTCAAACAAGCCTTCAATGACCTTTCAAGCCATCTTGGTTAGGCGACCAATGCTAATTAAAAAAATATTTTAAAAATTTGACTAGGGAGTGGCGGGTTAGGAAAGTTAAGGTTTAGCAGTAACTGAAATAGGTTACTACGAAATGAATACCTTTATTAACGATGCAATTATAAAACTCCGGAGTATCGTGTTTAGCCAGTCAAATCAAAGAATGCTGCTACTGCACAAGTTTGCCATTCATTGATTGCAGACTTGTTAAATCCGTTCCTCATTGGCGGAGTTTCACTGCTAACCAGGAGTTACATGCTTGAGAATATCACGAATCCGAGTTGATCATTTTCAATACGGAAAAGTTTAATATTCGACCTCCCGAACTTTTGTCAGTCAACAAATTGCTTTTATATCATGAAATATTTGTTTATACGGGTAATCGAGCTTCTTCTAGCTTTCAAATATCTTAAGATCCCATGACCGATAGACTTTATGATGCGCTTGGTTACGAGGTCAGGGTAAGACGATGTAGTTTCAACAAGCTACAAGACTTGTTGGAGACCTCACTTCATCATGTTATGCCGATCAAAACGTGCGAAGTCGAAACTACTTATTTATCTCGTTGCGCGTCTTCCGTCAAAATGAATATGGACACCCAACAACTTTTAAAAATCTTCAAGTACGAGAAATATGTTAGATAAACTGTTGTTGTAAGCTCGTATGTTTACCCTAAGCGGACACTCAATTTCCTCTGTCATACAGCGCTTACTCTCGGTTATTACGAGACGGAGTTTTATCCCCAGGTGGGTTTGTGTGGGAAATTCAAAATATATGCTTGATTGTCCATAGATAACAACCATGTTTGTTTTATGATAACAGATGTCTGTGAAGGCATCGTTGATACACTTGAAGAAAATATCAAATCATCTTCAGAATCATTCTTTGGGACAAAAAGAATCTCAAACCTGTACAATTACAAAGAATTGATGGAAAAATGCGAAAAGTTTATGCTGGATAAATTTGAAGAAATCGCGGTTATCGATGAGTTCAGGGAAATAGAGGAAACGAAGTTAGATTGATCAAGTCACAAGAAAACAAGGTATCTGTAGTGTTTTGTTATGTTTGTTTCAAATCTTTATTCCAAACAAAACTGCATACAAGTACCCACTTTTTTAGCGGTTGATTTGTTCCACAGCAGAAATTCTTCCCGCGAGGTCTTATACGAGCTAAGCTTCTTTCAAGAAAGCGTGAATACAACCAACAGCAATCAAATATTCAAGCTATACATGCGCAGAAGGTCTTCATCTTCCGATTACGAAAAGAAAACTCGAAAGATTCACCAATTAGCTGACGATCTTTTAAAATAAATTGTTAGCGGTTTTGGTGAAATTACTTTAACAATCCCTCCAATTTCAGATATAGCAATAAGAAAGACTACAGAAGATGAGATAGCAACTATAGAAAACGTCCGAAGACGAAACTTGGATAGAATCGCTAAGCAACGCAAATCTCCAGACGGTTGAAGACGTTTTCAATGCCGAATTAGCTGAACCGCCTCATCATTGAATAACATTTTTTTCAGTCATTATAGCAACGAATGCATTAAAAACTCACATGAATCCCGAAAAATCTAGCAACAGATTTCCGTGTAATGTTAGACCTCTTGGGACAGGTAAAACGTTTCTGATTCGGCTTCTCGCATTCATTGCACTGAGCTTGGGATTATGTGTGTTGCTCCTTTCTTCAACCTCTATACGAGCTAGATCACTAGGCGGAAGACATACCCATCAGGTTTTTTTTCTTTTTCTGTTATGAATAAGTATAACAAATCAAACTTAAAAGTAATGGTTTTGCTACAAAGAACAGATATTTTTATATTTGAAGAAATATTTCAGCCGAATTGTACGCAATGTTAGACAGATGCATGAAGAAAATTATGTTTTCAAATTGTATTTTGGTCCCAAGTTTGTCATCGCCAATAATCATAGTCAGCTTCCACCTCGTGGCGCTTCTTTTTGGACATCGATGCATTTTTTAGCTCCTTTTGAGGCATTATCTCTTAATATCCAACACACCAAAGAGAGAAAGTGAAAAGGAGCGTCAGAAACCGCCGTTTGTATAATTGGTTAAAAGTCGCGCAATTATTATTACACCGACGCTCGAAATTGATTACATAATGGCTGATGGGCAATCTCGTATTTTTGACACTAGCGATGTGTTATGGCAGATTGAAAAGGCGTCGAACGTGTCCAAGACGCCTAGGAAGACCCGTGACATCAAGAGGCAGGATGGGTCGTCGCCCAGCAACTTCGGAGTCTCGCCCAGCTTATAACTGAAGGAGACTATCACCGGGATGACACTGTGACCTTTCGGTGGACAGCGGTCAGTTTCTAGTCGGCAACTGAATAGCAGTTTCAGTCTACTTGGCTGCTTCAAGCAATTTCTTAACAAAAACGTTATTGGACTCCTTGTTTAGGGAAAACTGCACGGTTAGTATCCCATCAGATTGTATTTTTGGAAATATAATAATAATTGTTTCGAAATCTGCATAGATAACTTACTTTGATATTTTACATCAAAAGTACTTCATTTATTTATAATTTTAATTTATTTCACAGAAGAGTAGGTCAGAAGCAATACAAACGTCTGGAAGGCAGTTGATGTGGAGGAAATTTATGCTTTTCTGGGACTCGTAATTGTTATTCGCCTTCCAACGCTTGATGTATTGGCAGACCAAAAACTGACTGGATTTTAGATGAGCCGAGTATAAACAAAATAATGTCACGAAAAAGATTCAGAGTTATTTTGCGATATCTGCATTTTTGCAACGAGTCGTTGGTAAAGAATACAGATGTCCCCAACTAGGACAAACTTTTCAAAATTTGCGGACTTTTATTGCTCATACTACCTTTGTTTCAATCTTGTTATAACTCTGGAAGAGGAATCTCCATGGATGAAACCTTGAGTCCGTCCAAGGGTCGAATAGGGTTTCTTCAATTTATAAAATCTTAAGAGGGCTCGTTTCGGAATCAAGGTGTGGGTTTTAGTAGATTCGGCAACCGGGTACGTTTCAAGACTTCAATTTTATAGACATAAGGACCCCACCGCAAATTCCGAAATTGGCCTATCGTCACATGTTGTGCAATATCTGATAAAGGAGCCTTACGAAGGATTGAACCACCACCTTTACGTGAATAATATTTTCACGAGTCCCTCTTCTCGAGTATCTCCATTCGAAAGGCGTAAGGAACATTTAGAAGCAACCGTATATTCTTTCCAAAGGAGACAATTGTAAAAAGTGTTAAACATTATGTGAGATCAGCAAACGATGAGAATCTTCACAAAGTCATGTGCTTCGACGACCTTCTTTGCGAGAATGTGATCAGTTTTCGTGATCTTATTCATGTATAAGTTTCATGTTCATCATGTTTATTTCTACATCTTTTGATATCGTGAATACGCCAGATAATGCAACGCAAACTCATCAAATAACTAGACAGGATCAGGAACACGAAGAAATTGTGATTTAAAAGGTCTGTTTCTCGACTACAACAACAACTCGGGTAAAGAACAGACAAAACATTGTCAACTACAAAGACTATGAATTACTATGACAATCATACTGTCGAATGATTAGATAGATTTCAATAACACTATAATACTTTTAAAAAGATGATTCAAATGAATCACTTTCTAACTTATATATGTAGTATCGTCTATATACACGGTGCGTAAATTAGCCATGAAAATATTTGTTGAACACGGTCTATTCCGTTTTTTTTGCCCAACAAAGCGCTATTTTTTACTTTTCAAAATAAATGAAAGCATACTAAACTCATCGCAAGAAGCGAAATTATGGAGCGCTATACTTATACCCGACGACGGATATTCAAAAATGTCGAACACGGTCAATCACAACAACAATAGATATTAGTAATTCAGTGTAAAAGAGTATATTGGATTGAAAAATTAGTTTTCTGTCGAAATCAAATTTAAAAAAATATTAAACGGCTATTCTTTACTAATCTATAACTCTATTTCAACCCGTTTCCCATTTTTCCCATTTTTTGAATTTCAGGATATATTTTATATGCGTATACTTTATTATTTGTGGCTGTCATTTTATCATTTAATGTTTTCTCAAACTCATGTATAAGAGACGACAAATATGTCTAAAACTTCGATCATATTTATCGCAACACAAAAACGTATATAAGCGTTGATTTCGTGTATTTAAAATCAAAGCGAAGAAGGGGGGGGCCTCGTCCGGATCAGTGTCGTTTTAACCCGTCTGGTGTAAAACTTTTAAAATACAAATAATAATATATATATATATATATATATTTGTTATAATTTGAAACCCCGAACAAAGAATAGCAAGCCCTCAAGATTGCCAACGGTGATCCACAACCTTAACTGAACAGCGCAAATCGGAGAAGTCAAGTTTGCAATAAACGACCAAGAAAAACAAAAACGATAGCACAGCAACGATGACTATCAAAGTATGACGGAACACAATGGTACCTAATCGGAAAAGAACTAGACGACGCATAATAAAAAAGTCCAGATCTGAACTTTTGTTCAAAATGAGAAATATAAGGTGAAAAATCGTATCAATTTAAATTAAACCGATGATATAAAACAAAGAAAAATGTTTTTTAAAAAAAAAAGGTGGCATGCGCAAATGACTTCAGAAAGAAACGCCAGTGAATGAACCTGAACGCCTTCTGCGGATATTGCAACTAAATTTATTTTAATATGTTTAGTTAGGTCTGTTTAATTAGGGGGTTTCATATGAAGCTCAAGAATTCACTGAATATTTGCC